TGAAAAAGAAGTGGTGCAATTGGCACTCAGGGGCTTCAGTTTACTATTTATTATGTCTTAGTTGACATGCAAAGATGGTAGATCATAAAGCAAATTGCCACATAGAAAGAAAATTAAGTTCTAATATCATAGAGTTACTGTCTGTTCAGGCTTTCAAAAAACAAGCATTCTGTAGAATATGTTAAATATATACTTTGGATATGTTGTATTCCTTTTAATAATAACATCACTGTCATGCCTCTTGGTATGACTAAAGAAGTACGTGTGCTCATGATGTACAATTCTCCAGTATGATGGTTTAGTGAACAATCTCAGAAAAAAAAATCCTTTAAAGATTCCTATTCATTTAGCAAAAACATAAATGAACCATATGAACAGACAAGAAAAAAAAGTATGTCAAGTGCTGTATTAGATATTACATATACTTTTGAAAGTTCAGTGTAAGGGATTGCAGTAAATCTAGGACCACCTTCAAACAGCTTAACCTCCAGCTAAATTTTTCAGTAGTAGTGTTCTCTATTAACAAGGCATCTATGAAGGTCTTGAGTTGGCCAATAGGAGACAACTGGCCCAGGGATTTAAGTAAAATTTAGGTCAAATGCATACATATATAAAGCACATTTCAAAAAATGTCCAAAGAAGTAAATCCAATTGCAGCACAAGCTGCAGCTCGGCAGATTATACGCTCTGCACTTCACTATAAGAAAGTCATCTGAAGAGCAAACCTTTCTGTTTAGAGAAGAAGCTAAATGAATGGGTTATATACACACATATATACATACATACATATATATATATATGTACTAAGACCTTTGCGACCCCATTTAGGATCCTGGGGTTGGTTTGTTTGTTTGTTTTTGTTTGTTTGATTTTCTTGTTTAAAGATCAAATGCTGTTTTAAGATTTTGGACTGAGAATTTTTGATTACTCATTAAAATAAAAAAATAGTAATAAAAAGGGTTACGTTAAAAAGTTATGTTAAATTTTTTGTTTAAAGGGTGTCACAAAAAATATTCACGGCTTTAAAATAAGGAATTTCATTAAAAAAATAAACACAAAATTAAAATATTGGGACCTTCTTATTTTCCCCAGACAGTCCTCATTTCTGGCTGAATTAATTAGTTGATTTGATCCAAAGTTCCCTAGTTCCAGTCCCCCCCATAGTTCATTCACTCTACACAAAATCTTATTTTCCCAGCTCTGAAGCCAGACTTAAATCTCACCTCTTTTGTGGTGAGATTTCCTCCTTGGAAACAGACCAAATTTCTAAAAGTTGCAAGCTTCAGAGAAAGTAGTTTGGTAAAAGACTGTATTCTCAAGACCTGTATTTTTCTTTTTCAAAGAAAAAATGTTAATTCTGTGATGCCTAGTCAGTATTGCACAGGCAGTGGTAGTCAGTGGCTACAGTTAATACGTTGTAATAATGTAATATTTCATATCCTGACCTTTAAAAATTGATGCTATATATATCCTGCACATAGTAAATCTAACTCTTTCAACAAAGGTTGGAAGAGTTCCTGAAGCATTTTGTTCAATATTAATGTGTTTTGTACCAGTAAAATGGAGAGAGAGATTTTATGGAAAAGAATGAGGTTTTACAGAAACACTAATTATTTTTTTGCTTTGATCTTCAAAATATAATGTTTAAAAGGGGCCTAAGTTTTTTCCATTTCAGAAAATGAAAAGCATTGAGGTACTGGAGCATTTCTGTTATGAGGAAAAGCTGAGAAAGTCCAGTCTGTTCAGCCTCAAGAAGACATGACTGAGGGGGGACCTCATCAATGTATGTCAGTATTTGAAGGGAGGGTGTCAGGAGGATGGATCTGCTCAGTGTTGTCAACCAATAGAGGAAGAGGCAACAGGCAGAAACTGATGCACAGGAAGTTCCACCTGGATAGGAGGAAGAAATTCTTTACTGTACAGGGGACTGAGCACTGGAAAAGGTTCCCCAAAGAGGCTGTGGAGTCTCCCTCACTGGAGATATTCAAGAACCATCTGGACACAATCTGGTGCCATGTGCTCTAGAATGACCCTGCTTGAGATGAAAGATTGGACCAGATGACCCACTGTGGTCCCTTCCAGCCTTATCCATTCTGTGAATCTGTGGATTTATGTCTCTTCAAAGTGCTTTCAACTTGAGACTCAAAAAAACAAAGCCAGATTTTACAACAAGATTTTACAGACCATAATAACCCTAGAAATATCTTCTCCACAATGTTACCAGATTTGGGTTTTATTTAATCAAGTGCACAACATTTGTGTCTATTGTAATGATCATCGCTTTACTGCATGGCATCAACCATATTGAGCTTTGTAACAAGGACACTGCCTACTGCTTATAGCCCAGTTTGGGAGGGGTGCAGTGTAGAAAGGCAAGTCTGCTCCTGTATTAGAGAGGTCTTGGTTCAGTTTTCCTGTACATACTGGGCATTTCTCTGCAGCTGACACATGCAAGGGGATGCAGGTAATCTTAATGCCATTCTTTCATTGTGATTTCCCAAACAGAGAGAAGGCAAAGCAAAACAGTGCTGTAGAAATAAGTTTTCAGGCATATGTTTGATCAGTGCATCCCTGAGGTGCCTTAAGAGTCTCATTCTGCTCTCTGCTTTCAAATATTGTAGATGGATTATTATTTATATTAATCGCTACAAATATTAATATTTATTGTTATTTCGGCTGTATCTGCAGAACTACAGAATGTATTACATTTGATGCTTAAAAAAATCACCTACCATCTATTTCAAACTGTTAAAAATAATGTTTAATTCTAAAATAACTGACAGTGAGTTAGAGGCAGAGGTACCACAGTGCAATGTCACTGCAGCAATCCTCACAGAGGAGAAGTAATAATTAAATGCCTTTCAAAGACTAGGATCCAAGTCCCAGAGCTAATTCATTTAAAAGGTGTACTTCCTGAAGCCAACTATGAAGTACCTATAGCATGAAGACTGAATGGTAGTCAAACTAATCACTGACAGTCTAAAGTAAATGAAAATAATTGAACGAAGGAGTAGAATGTACAGTGCAACTTATAGAAACCCAGGATGAAAATAGGTGAGGATTCAATATATATGATAAATTACATACATTGGTGAATATTTAACATCTTGTGTCTGTCATATATTTGTTTTATTTACTGTGAAAGCTAGGAAGAAAAATGATCATAAAATATTTAAGAGTCAGTGTAAATGGAAAAAAATGTTTTCCCAGGGTAATGGACTCCTCCAGCTATTAGGCAATGAAGCAAAGTAGAAACATTTATATTCCAGGCAGAAGGTAGTGCTTCTGAGACAAATTTCTATGATAATGAACATAAAGCAGGCACACAATATAATTAATCCAGAGGTGTCTGATTTTATACAGCGAGCATTGAATGTGCAGCGATGGCTGCTCTCCACAGCCTGGCTGTCATGCCCAAGTCCCATTTCTTACGCCGGTGCTGCCAGGGCTCAGCGTGCACAGTGTCCATCTCCCACTGCATATTGACTCCTGGAGACTGGAAACTGACTCTCAACCTGCTGGCTGAGAATGTCTGTTTCCTTCTTGACACAAGTGATGTTTCTAGCATGAGGGGCAGGCTCCAACAAACTGCTTTGTACTGCACAAATGTCCTTTATTTGCTTCCCATTCATGAATACCTTTGTGAGGAAAGAAACTCTAATTCTCTTTCCCAATAATTGTCATAGGTGACGTTACTTTTCCCCACAGTTATTTTTTTATGTAACTGCTGACCACCTGCCATTTTTTCTCAGAATGATGCTTCCCCCAGACCTTCCAAACACCAGTTCAGGCAGGTTTTTACCCCCCTCCTCATGCATCCTCTGTGCTTTACTCTGGGCACAATCAGCACTTTGTTTTCCTTCTGACTTCTCACAGTTTGATTCTCAGCATCTTGCAGTCTCAGATTTAATGTATTTTTGATCCTATAGAGAGTATGAAAAACTCCCTGACTTCCCTACCTTTCTCAGCTCTTCTTCTTTCTTTAATATTTGTTCAACATTTCAATATTCCTTTCACGAATTATCATATTTAAATGTAATCTCTGGCTAGGTTGGGGGGTTTTTGTTTGTATTTGTTTGTTTGTTTTTAACATCTGAACATGTCTTTCTTCATCAATTTCAGAAATATTTGCTTTTGCCATGGGAGTAATTCCTTTTTATTCCTTCAGAAAAACAGTCACTAACCTAAAAATATAACTAGATAAACACATTTTTAATTTTTTAAATAAACACTTCATTGGGATTTTGTCACTATAAAGCATTCAATGCCAAATAAACAAGTAAATGCAACCTGGTGATACTTTTAAAAATATGCAGGATAAACTTTAGAAAGTCAGAATTAAATAAAAGTTTCTGTCACTCCAAGCACTAGCACTAGATCCTGGACAGATCAGGCTCAACTTGTCAAAACTTCCCCTTGTGATTTGAAGCACATGGACCTGATGCTGGAACTGTTTGATCTTAAAATGTCACTAAGGCTATTTGTGCCGGGTCATATAACTTCAAACAAAGTATTTTATACTCTTCTCGCTCCTTTCTTCCTATCTGATAGGTGGGTGGCTCTGCTAGTGCTTAATGTGAAACCATTAGACACCACTTTTTTTTTTTTTTTAATATCTTAAATCAATGCTTTCCTAAATTGATTCTATTATCTACTTTAAAAAATGGATATTGTGGATATGTATATAATAATAGTAGTAATAAACACTGCTAGACTTCCCAAAAGTGCCTTTAACACTTAACATTTTCATTACCATTGCTCTGTCTTATGGCCACGCTTCATAAGTACAGAAATACCTGGGGATTCGCACTTTGTTCCACTTGTGTGCTTCACAGCTATCACTCAGGTTGTGATAAAGCATTTCATGAGAATAACAGGCATCAGCTTATGGAACCTTAGGAGTCAACTTTTCATTATTTTGTAGCCAGATTTATTTATTTGATTCAATCTTATTGGCAACGTGAAGGTTTATGAGTATACATATAACAGATGCAGGTACCCAAGCTGGCTCTGCTTGCCCTGGGGTGAGAGCTGGGAGCATTGGGTAGCAGTGATGTAGAAAGAGCTGGGGCAGTTTCATGCAAGCCAGGTCATGACTTGAAGTGTGTAGTAGTTCCAGTGAGGGGAGTCTATGCTATTTACTGGTACTGGATGAGAAATCTGTACAGCACTGCTAGTTTATCACCTCAGGTCTCAGTGAAGTTAGGGAGACAGTGCTGTTAGGGGAATTGCATTTGGTGCAGGCATTGAAACATGAAGGGGGATAAAACCAAGACCACAAGATCCTTGTCTAGCTGAAGTCAACAAAAACAGTTTGGAAAAAGACTGAGAAACTGAGAGTCTAATGTAAGGCATGTTCCAGTGGTAAAGCGCATGCTATGCTTCCCTTAAAAAGCAAGAATTTACATGTAATTGTCTATTTTGGACTTTTTATTTTAATTTGAACATGTGTTCTGAATACTTGCCACTCTCATCATTTAAGACGCATCCCTTTTAAACACAGTAATGTGTCCTCAGCCCTAGACAAAACCAACTTTCTTGCCTGGCTGAAAATCAGAGGTGTAAGAAACCAAATATTTTCTTAGATTGTGATTAGTATTTGTACAACAGAGAACTCACACTGAATTGAAGATTATCATAAGTAAGTGCAAAGAAAAGGTCTCCATATGCATGTTACCTTCATTTAAGAAAATGAAATCTAAATTACACTTGAGGTCACTGGGGGTGAACCTTGGAAATTCTGAACCTCTGAATTCATTTACAGGAAGCTCAGGAAAACAAATGTAGACTGCTGTAGTCACTCTTACCTGTTGTTTCAAATTTTCCACTTCTTTAGATAGGAAAAAGAAAAGGAAAAATTCACATCAATTCACCTCTTGCAGACATGTTATTTTAATGGTGCTCACTGACAATATTTCAAAAGCTGTGCAAGCTGGTAATATCTACATGAGGGAGAACAAAATTTCAGAACAGTCATTATAGTCCCAGGCTAGAGCTTCCTTTCCTGAGAGACACAAAGAATGGCCAGCAAAGGCCCCTGAAGATAACTGAAGAAACTGCAGTTCCTCATGTCTACAGACCTTTTATGTTGTATTACTGTGGCCATGCTTATTATTTCCATGGTGCCCAGGAGGCCTAAGCAAGGGTGAAAATCCTGTTTTGTACCTCTAAACAACTACATGGAAAAACAACTCTGATTTCACAGAACTTGTTGAAAAGAGATTATAAAATAAGAAAGGTTGTTTTCAATACTGACATATGAGCATTCCCAAATATAACACCAGAAATACACTATTATTCAACCCAGAAACGTGTTTTCCAAGCAAATAAAGAAACATTTATATTCACATAAATATATGGAGCCATGGTCTATCTTCTGCTTCTGAAAATTCAGCTCTGTGTACATGGAGGTGGAAAACAACAGCTGTGAGGGAAGGAATTTGGAGTACAAATGAACACCAGACCCTGCTGTAGATATGCATTCTTTGACATCTGGTGCTGACTAGACATGGGAATTCAGTGGCAACATGAGATTTTATGCATCTGTCAGCTAAATCTAGCAATTCTCTTTGGGACAATTGCATAGATGAGGTTGATCTCAGAGAGCTGTTTTAAGCCAGAACAAAACAAAGGAAGAAGACTGTATCTGATTTGTACCCGCAATTTGCAGAGCTGGCTGGTTGCATTAATCGGGATCTCACATCTGTTCTACAAGAATCTGGAGACCCAACATGTTTGACTATTATTGAAATATCATAATAAACCCAGATATCCAAGGAAAAGAAGGGTTGTGACCATATGAAATAACCCCTGATCTGACTTAATCTTGCTCTGCTTTGTAATTTTACCTCATTTCAATAAAGATGATTTTTTTTTTTTTAATATGAGAAAAAGTCTTGTGCGTTATGCCAACACAGTTTTTCTCACCATGGTTTAGATGCAAACGAAGCAACAAGAGCACCAAAGACATTACACATCATTATACATTTTAAATCCTCAGTTTAGGATATATTGTTGGATGCTACACGTGGTAAACCATCACTACAAAATGAAATCACTAATTCATGCAATTTTATATTAATCTGTACTGCACAGTAACTCTCATTTTTAAGGGAGCTACTTAATTTAACTGGATTCCTCTTTGTATGACTACAGGATAAACAGATTTCACAAGAAAGCGTTTAACCTCTTTCCTCATAACCCTGGATAACCAGGAGTGGGTGTGGACTGAGACCCGATGGGGATGCTGTGAAGTCTGTGGCTGTGACCTTTCTACCTCAGACATCTGAGACCACACAGGGCAGCAGTGCTAATGAATGTGCCCTTTCCTGATGAACTCATGCTTCACAGTCCCTGCTATGGTATATTGCATAATCTGGGATGATGTAAAATGATTGGCAGTGCGGAAGATGAAATAAGCCTTCTTCCTTCCTTCCTCATCTTCCTCTCAGATAGGCTGCTTGAATTGCTTTTGTTTTGGGATGACCCTTGTTCCAAGCGATTTCTGCAGTGAAAGGAAAGCAAAAAGCTTTTTTTCAGCTGTTGGTTGTAGATCATGTATCTGGACTCTTCAGACATAAATCAACAGGACCATTTTTATGCCATTGCCTAGTCCCCATTACCTGCACACACTAATCAAATTTAAGCCATTTTCAGATGCAGTGATTGAACAAGGTCTTGTGTTAGAATTTTTTTTTTTTTTAATGGCAAGTGCCATTGTGCTTTTGCCGTGAATATGTGCAGAAATACTCTGAACTGCTTTGGCTCCCAGTTGTCTCTTTGCAAAATAATCTTTATGCTACACATGTGGTGGCAAATGTTTCCATAATACAGCCCCTGACTCCTTTAATTACATCTTACTATGTCATGAAGGATATAACGCTACTAAAGCTCTTAAATACACCACATTAATGACAGCTATAAATGTAGATATTACCTTAGCAGTGCTGTATTAAGTCTGGTATGCTGAGTAGAAGTCCATAATTTTCTAAAAATACACTCCTGTAACTATGAAAGAGACATAGGTGGAAAGTCAGCAGGAGAAGATAGGCTTGGTTGACAACTTGTGGCTGACAAATGTTAAAACCAAATTTCTGAGAAATTCTCTGTTGGTTATAAATCAGGCATGAGAGAAACTTTTCTCCCTCAAGACAGCTGCCAAGTTATTGCTCTGGACACAGATGAAGTTTCTTAAAAGACAGAATGTATTTACAGCCTGTAAGATACCTGCTATTTTTAATACCGACTCTCAACAAGCAAGCAATAGATTTTTTTGTTTACATTAGAAAGTGTTAGCATGTCTGTGTGTTTTGTGTGCATGTCCACGCATGTGAATGTAAACCTTGCACATGCTATGCAACCTGTGTGGGGCCAGGATAGGTGGCATTCTAGTCATGTAATTAATTAAGTCTAGTTCACCCTAACATGCAAGTCCCAGGGTGTGCACCCATCAACCTTTCTAAAACTGGAGCACAAGATTACAACACTGACACGCCTAAGCAAGGGACTGACATTAACCTCGTGCTACATTTAAATCATTCCAGGCAGTCTGTTTTGAATTTCTAAATGTTGCTGTACTGTTCTAATGAGTTAATTCATTTGGTATCCGTTTCCTCCTGTCAGCTGCTTTTGGAAAATAAATTGTGCATTGTTATTTTAGCCTTGTCTATCCTATTAATGCTTTAGGAAATGCAGCTGAAGATTATCTGGAGTTTTCTATGGCAGAGGTTGACCTGTGGCAATGGGATGATCAATCACATCTTGAAGGAGTCAGAATCTGCAAAATGTTTATTCATTTTGTTTTCAGTCAGCAGCGTAGATTTTTTAAAAAATGTTTTCAACCATTTGTGCAGAGGGGTAAAAACAAAATCGTTGGCAAGAATTTTGTAAAAACATCAGTTTCAGTGTGTAAATGTCATCTACCCAGTGAAGGTGAATATAGCAATATACTACAAATTCCACATTTGCCAGCAGTATATTAGAAGTCTTCTCTATTCCATTCTTGTTTGATGTTAGCGATTAAATTGACAATACCATGATGACTTTCATGTGCTTTCATAGTGTTGTTAGTCTAGAAGTGAGTGGGGATGGATATAATGCATCTACCCCACAGCGTCCGCCAGCAGTTGCCCAGGAGTGTTGTCCAGGAGTCTGGGTTACCTGAATGCTCCTCTCACTCAGCTCCGTGGTGCATCCTTCACCTGTCTCCTGCTTCCCAATACTCTGTTAAAGACAGCAGTATTTGTATCATCTAATTCACTCTGGTTTGAAGCACTACTGTTAACTGGTCCTGCCTGAGTTTAGAAAACAAAGCTTGCTGGGATGCCTCTGATTCCTGTTTAAGAGCTGGAAAAACTCCCACAAGAGTGGGAGCAGTAGCCTTCCCTGATCTTTCCAATCCCCCCCCCCCATTTCCAAAATCTCACAGTTTTTCTTTACACATCTCCCTCAGTTTCCTAGCAAGCATTTCAAATCTGCTATCCTAGGATGATTTCGGCAACTAATTTTTAGAAATGCCTAGATATCTTTGCTCCCTGGTGTTCTGGCTGTGTTGCCTGTGTCAGCTTTTTACACTGTGCTGCATGCTAACCCCACTGCGGCACCCAGTACAGTGTTACTTGTGCCCATCCTTTCCCTTCTTTCCAACCACAATTAGATCATCTCAAAATATCTGTACTGCTCAGAGGCTCTAGATTTGATGTGAAGGTTCAGAGATTAATTTAGCACAACTAGTTTACCTTGGGATTTAAACAAGCTACTAATTTAACAGCCCTGAATCTTTCTGGTTGTCCCTGTGCTGAAGTCCTATGCTTCCCAAGGGATCTGTGGGAATAAGAAGTGTATAAAAAGAAAAAGAAGCACAAAATTCTTAGCCCTTCAGCCCCTTATTTCCCTGTGACTTTCAGAGACTTCTGACTTGCACACTGGAGAGACTCAGAGTTATTTTTTTATGAGAAACAGATTGAATGCGCAGGTTTTCATCGATCTTGGTGCAAGTGGAGTTCATGTCCCTGAAGAATCCCCAAAGAGTCTAACACACGGTGCCAGGAATAGTCAGGACCTTGTACTTAAGTCTGTTTTCTCTTGCACTTCTGTTCTCAGCAGGTGGTGGAAAGACCTCTTTATTTTCCCTCATTACGCTTTTGATTGTTGCAAACAACTTTGACCGTTCTTGCCCTACTTTAACTTAAGCCACCGAAGTGGAGCCCTGAGTCGCCCCTTAATCCTGAACTGAGAGGTGAGCAGGAACAGAAGCTGCTTACACAGTAACAAGGCAATCCATACTCTGAGAAGGAATTCTCTGCAGCCACACGTGGCATTGCCTGAACACAATCTTCACCAGCACTGCTGTGATGCACAAATCCAAGCTGGGCCAAACAACTTGTACCCTGTGCCCATCTGAACATCCATTTTCCCAGTAGTGTTTCACAGTGAATGTAAAAAACCCCTCCCTTGGAGCTGCTGGTGACTCTTGGATCGCCTCATGTGCCTTGGGTGGCCTGCATGTGCCTGGCTTTTTGCTGGTGTCTGTGGATAGCTCATATTTTCCTCAGCATCAGAGAGCTGCAGCTGCACATCTGCAAGATACTCCAGGGAAAAATGGATCACAGTTTGATGTCTGTAAATAGCTTCTCAAATCCAAGATTTTTGAAAGAAAACACTGTCAATGCTTTTATTTCAATTCTATCATTATTTTTACAACTTAGTTCAATTTTAGCAACAACAAAAAATGTCTTGTATTCTCTGTAACATAAATTGGTGCAGTCTCACTGAAGTCTGGGCAACTGCAACAAATATGCCAGCAGAGAATTTGGCCCATGAAGGGAAAAGAAGCCTTAATAATGCTATACTCTCAACATGAACATTCATTTTCCTTATTACCTGTCCCGAGAGATCATTTTCTCTAGTCAGAACTCCAACTGCAGTTTTTGCTATCAAGAATATTGCTTTTAAACAGGAAAATGAAGAGTAAACTATGATAATTTTCAGTAACTATACTACTAAAGTCTTAATTTTCAAGTGAAAACATTACCAAACTCAATTTCAGATAACATTTTTTTATGTGCAAACCACTGTTGATACTATAACTTCTATTTTAGGTTGCTAGCAAAGAGAAGAACAATGTGACCCATTTAAAAACTGGCTCACAGAAAAATATTAACAAGCCATTTATCGCTACTATTTAATTTTGGTGATAAACACCTTTTGATAGAAACATTTCTTTGTTACAAAGCTAGCCGTAGCATAGAACATATTTGACCATAACCCACGTGCTTTGCAATAGTACTGAGAAATGGAGTTTCTGTTTGTTGCCAGTTGTTTGGAAAAGAAATTTAAAAAAAAAAAAAAAAGAGGAAAATGCTCACCTTTGAATTCTTCAGTAGATGGAGCTTGATTTTTGAAATTTCTGGAGTACTGCAATGGCTGGATACAGGTTCTCTGGAAGAACAGGTCAGGATGGTGAGAAGGAGCAGTTGCCCTGTATTTTAGAGAGAGAGGTAGGGATGTGTGAAGCTCCACCATGAGCCAGCTGAGAGCTTATGGGTCTGGGCTGTCTGGCAGGTTGATGTGGGTGACATTGGTGTGGGTGTCTGCTACAGACAGCTAGAAGTAGATCAGGCCTCCTTCAAGTAGCCAGAAGAAATCTCACATTTACCAGTCCATGGACTCACAGAAATCATTGACAACCTTGATATGTGTTGGAGGAGCAAGACAGCAGAGCAAAAGCAACCCAGGAGGTTTCTGGAATGCACTGAAGGACAATTTCCTGATAGAGGCAATTAAGGAGGTGAAGAGAGGAGATGCTCTCCAGGACCTGACTTTTACAAACAAAGAACTGGTTGGGAATGTGAATGTCAGGACCATAACCACTATGACCACGGGGTAGTGGAGCTCAGGATCCCAAGAGAAGACAGCAAGTTAACAACCCAGGACACTGGGAAAGCAAACAATGAGCCTGTTCAGGGACCTGCTTGGAAGAATCCCATCCCAAGACACCGTCCTGCAAAATAGAGGAGGAGTTCAGGAGACATGACTGATTTTCAAGCACCAGCTCTTCCAGACTCACGAGTGTTCAGTCTCCACCTGCAGGAAGTAAAAGAAATGTGGGACGAGGCCCACATAGATGAACAAGAAGCTCAAAGATAAAAAAGAAACGTTCAAGAGGTGAAGGTAGAGTTAGGTGATATAGGAGGAATATAGAGACATTACCTAAGCATATGGGAATCAGATCAGGAAAGTCAGAGCCCATTTGGAATTGAATCTGGCAAGGGATGTGAACAGCAAAAAGAGAGGTTTCTACAGGTACCTCAGCAACAAAAGGAAGACTGGAGAAAATGTGGGTCCACTGCTGAAGAGGGAAGGGGACATGGTGACAGAGGACATGGAAAAGGACAATATTCTCACTGTTCTTTTCTCATTGGTCTCTACTGGTAAGACCAGCCTTCAGGTCTCAGATCCCTGAGACACAGGGAAATATCTGGAATAAGGAGGAATTACCATTGTTTGAGAAGGACCAGATTAAAGAACAATTAGACAGCTGGGCTGAACGCAAGTCCATGGGACCTGATGGGATGCAACCACAAGCACTGAAGTAGCTAGCCAATGTCACTGTGAAGCCACTCTTGAAATGCCATGACCACCAAAGGAGATTCCTGAGGACTGCAAGAAAGCAAATGTCACTCCTTTCTTCAAGAAGGAATTACAGACCAGTCAGCTTCACCTCATTCCCTGGGGAAAGTATTGAATAAGTAATTCTGGATACCATTTGCAAAGTTGTGAAATTCAAGAAGTGATTAGGAGAGTTAACATAGGTCTAGGAAGAGAAAATAATTTTTGACCAACCTGGGAGCCTTCTGTGTCAAAGTGACTGGTCTGTGCATGAAGGGAGAACACTGGATGTTGTGCTCTTGAGTATAGCAAGGTTTTTGACACTGGTTGCTGTAACATCCTCAGTGGCAAATGCAGACTAGGGTACAGACTAGGTAAGAGGAGTGCAGAGTGAGACTGAAAATTGCCTGAACTGCTGGGCTATTCATACTATGATCAGCCACACAAAGTCCACCTGGATGCCGCTTGCCAGAGGTGTACACAGGAGATTGACACTGGGGCCAAAATGGTTTAACATCCTCTTAAGTTACCTGGACAGTGGGACAGAGTGCACTCTCAGCAGGTTTGCAGATGATACAAAACTGGAAGGAGTGGCTGCTACACCAAATGTTTGTAAATGGAGAAACAGGCTGACAGGAACCTCTTGAAGTTCAAAAAAGGGAAATGCCAAGTCAAAGGAACAACTCCAGGTACCACAGGAGCTGTAGGGTAAACCAGCTAAAAGCAGTTTTAGTAAAAAAGATCTTCTGGGCTGTACCTGGAAAAGTGCTGTCAGCAGGTCAAGGGAGGTGATCCTGCCCCTCTGCTCAGTGCTGTTGAGGCCACACCTGGGGTGCTGTGCCCTGTTCTGGGCTGTCCAGGACAAAAGAGACGCAGAGCTACCAGAGAGAGTCAAGTGCAGGGCCAAGAAAATCATTAAGGAATTGGAACATCTCTCCAATGGAGGAAAGGCTGAGATAGTTGGAGTGATTCAGCCATGAGATAAGAAGCTCAAGAGGATCTCATAAGTGTGAATAAATACCTGATGGAGGTGAATAAAAAGGATAGAGCCAGGATCTTTTCATGGTGCCCAATGACAGGACAAGAGACAACAGGAAATTCCACTTAAGAAAAAAAAAATATTTAGTGTGCAGGTGGTTAAACACTGGAACACGTTACCCAGAGAGGTGATGGAGTCTCCATCCTCGGAGACATACAAAACACAATGGGACATGGCCTTGAGCAGTCTGCTTTAGCTGACCTTGCTTTGAACAGGGAGTTTGGAGTAGTTGCTCTCTAGAGATGCCTTCTAACCTCAGCCATTCTGTGAAATCATTGCTTATATAATAAAACAAAAAGTGTTATCTCTGTAGGAAGCCCCATGTCATAGTCATGGATGCAGTCATGCCATCCTCCTGCTAATAAGTACTGTTAGAAACAATTCATGTATAAACCTGCAGGGTGTAGGTGCATGTAGGATCCTGACATTCAGGGGGACAGCAGGGACCTTTTGGCACCTCATTCTGGGGCAGATGGGGGATGCTTTGCCGCTCCTCACCAGCTGCATTCCTTAGAGGCTGGGCTTTCCCACCCCCAGGTAAGGAGCACAGTGAACATCACGACCTTGGTCAGTCCAGTATGCTGGAGAGAAGGAGCAAGCTGTCTGTGGGGAACAGCTGCCTGTGCTGGCACTGTGGTACCTGGGGAGGCACCTTTTCTCAAGGAGAACCTGCAGCTGATTTTTCCAGCCTACTTTCTAGACCTTTTGTGCTGATCCCACAAAGCACAAAGGGAATAGAGGCAGGGCTGGGAATATGTGTGAAAAAATATCTCTCCCAGCCTTTTAGATACTGAACAGAAGGAGAATGTAACAGCATGACTTTTGCACCAGTTCCATAGAGATAAAATCACTTTTGAAAGCAGTTTTTTGGTTGTTTAGGAAAACTAATTTTCTTCTCAGTTTTGAATTAGACAGTAATTTTATTTTCTCTTCAACTTCCTATTATTGTTGTGACTATTATCAGGAATGAATTATTCTGAACATCAAGCATAAGAAGAAAGCTATGCTTTTTTTTTTTTTTTACACCATCCTTTTAATAGTAAGTTTTGGCCTGGATCACTTACTCTGTTTAGGATTAATGCATTCATGAGCCTTATTTTCAGTAGCTATGAAGAAAAGACATTTTAAAGCAAATTGAGGTGGTTGATATCTTCTCTAATGCATTTTTAATGTATGAGATATTGTAAGGACCAGAAAAATATTCTGTGCTCTGCAACACAATTTGACAACAGAAAAAAATTAAAAAGAGAAAGCAAGATAAAAACAAGTTAACAATATGTGGAAGAGGGAAATATACAGCCATGCTGTTAGTGTCCAGTTGGCTAATTTTATTGGGATTTCCAGCATATGAAAAATGAATATGATAACTGATGGGGGGATGAGGATGTTGTGATATTAATAAGAATGTAATTCCATAAGAAATTGTCTTGTGATTTATAGCTAATAATATTACTGAAATGAGGCTAATGAAGAAAATCAATCCTATATAATACATTTTTGTAAGTCTGATTCTCAAAGTATTTCTGATGGAAAAAAAATAGATTTGTCTTCTCCTCCCAGCAGTCCCTGCTGACACGAGAAGTCTCGCTGAAATCAATTGACAATCAGACTGGGGAGTAAATAAACCTCTGTTGGATGCACTTCTGTTCTGCCTTGCTTCTGTAGTTCCTCTCTCATGACAATGTCCTTGGAGCCACATTTTCTGTAAGAAAACTGCTACAGTGCACCTGGAGTGCAGCTACCGACCTTACTGCTGTACTAATAAACTCCACCCGCTACGAAAGTTACCTTTGGTCTGCTAACTTGGGTACTAATCACAAAGGATTTGCTGTGCCATACCAGTCTTTCCAGACCTTTGGGTATTTATGCAATAAGCTGATCTACACTGCACCCCACACTGCTTGGTTTTACTGATATTAGTGTTGGAGAAAACTAAAGGAAGGCAAGCGTCGTTGTACTTACCCATTCTGCAGGAACATTTCAGGCTGCAGTGCATGTTTTCTCACCCCAGCCTGCCTTCATCTAAGTAACTGAAATCACCTTCAGTGAGATTTAGTAGATCCCTGAAAATGTACAGTTATGCCCCTCTTTGTGTTCCTTGCCTGCTTCATTCCCCGTCTTCCTCGTAAAGCACAATGTGATTTATAACATGTATCTTATAGCATTTGGAAGATCACCTATTTCTTCAGAGAAATTTCATGGGGTATATTTAAAACCACAGATGTTTTAGAAATACTGGCAGTCCTTTGCTTTGCTTCAAGTACAGACTCATAGTTCTCCTTATGAGGGAATGTCTACAATGAAATTACTGATTTTGTGAATAATTTTGTGGATGCTAAAGTGTGACTGCTCTTCTTGGTAGACAGTGAAGAGAAGCTTCCCCACATATTTATCTCCTCAAGCCCAAGACCTTCCTCTTCAGGATTCTGGAAATGGGCATACTAGTAGAGCTTTCTGTCTCTGTCACCGTACTTATTTAAGTCAATAACCTTTTTGATGTCAGTGAGGCAACATAGAATCTTGTGTAAACAGCCGGTGCTTACATCTTTCCCCATCTCAAGAACCTTGCTGATACCTGATTTAACACCTGACACATCCACCTCACCCAAATACTTAAGTAGGCACAGATATGTGACAGCAGGGAGGTATGATGTGAAGAAAAGGATGCAAATGTAAAGTGGATTAAAGGTGTAGTGCTATGCACAAAATCATGTCACCTATTTTTGTGTGCACGTTTTGTTTGTTTTTTTTTTTTTTTCTGTATCTCACTTCCAAGCAACTGTGGAGGTTACCAGCATGAGGCACAGGTGATTATGGGCAAAAATGTATTTGTACTATCAGATGCTTGGAAGAACTGAAGTCTTATCTGAGCTTGGTGAGAACAGTCTGAGATGTGACAGGGACTGGAGAAACACCTGAGACACAGCAAACAAGAGAATGGCTACTGGTTTCAAAAGAAAAACAGTTGATTATGTTTAGTCAGGAAAGGAAAGATTTTAGTTAGAGTCCTGACTGGTTATTTGTGTTTGAGGTTACTTATGAAAACTGCTTAACACAGAGCAGACTAGATCCTGGCACTGTTGTGCTGTCATCACTGTAAATTCATTAATGTTTCACTGAACTGCAGTAATGCCATTAGATTGCCCTATGTCACATGTGTTGTGTCTATGAATGCTCTCTTTGTCTCCCTGTATAGCAGGGAAGGTGAAAGGCACTGGAGTTAACTGATTCTTCAAGCCAAGAATCTTTGTAATCATAAATAAAATAAGTCCCTTCAGCTTAACATTCATTGCCTCCTTTCTCATTTAGAAACAGATGTCAGCACAAGGATAAGGCAGGTGCAGAGTCTCTCTTTCAGCTGCTTTTGAAGGAAAGCAGGAAGTGAATAAGTCACAGGGAGCTGTGTTGTATGTATCTTTAGAAAGGCATTTATAGCTTCTAGATATATTTCTGCTAATGAGGGTGTAAGATGCCAGCTCTTTGGAAGATACAGCATGCACTGTCGCACTCTCATCAACTCTAATAGATGCAGTGTGTATGGGAATATAACTTAAACATGAGGGTACAAAGGAATTATTTAACTTTCCACAGAAAGTGCTTAAGAAAAAATGTCTAATACTAGAAAAATAGCTGTCTTAGTTGAATGCTATATAAACTACAAAATTTCTTATAAACTGGAAACCCCCAAATGGATGCTCTCCATACATTGCAGTTCTGTCTGAATCTGCATGTAAGTACCCTGAATAGTAGCTGTAAAGTTACAATTTACTACAGTGTCTAACTCCTGAACTTAATAAAGGCCACAAACTGATTGTTGCCAATCATATTATTGCTGTTAAAGGCAGCAGCAATGTGATCTGAGAGCATGTTATATTTGGGTGCATGTTAAGAATCTGACTACTGCCATTTTCCCCCTTAGGCAATCCAACTTCCACACAAAACACTGTCATTTTTTAATTAGGGCAAGATCAGACCCAATATGATCCATAGCTTTTACGAGATGCCAGACCAAGGTGAGTAGAAAGGGACAAACAGCACCATAGTCTCTCTCTCGTCTCTCTCCACATCCATTGAGTGAAGCTGGTTTGAGGTGGGTGGTAAAAACACTATTCTTTGTAAAGAGCTGGCACAATATGCCCTCATTAGCAAAGCATGCCCACTTTTATTGGCCACTCCTGCAGTTCCTCATTAGAAACACCACGCTGCAGGCGTTTTGCAGAGTGGGATTTCAACTATGAAAGGAGAAACTAACCAGAAAAACTTCCTGGGCTTGAGGCACTGCATAGTCTGGCATGGATTTCACTTTCCCCATGACACTGGAAAAGCACTAACCTTCCTGTCAGAGAACAACTTGCTTTGGTGCCGCATGCTAGCAAAGATGCTCTGTGATAAACAAGCTTTTAATCTTGTACTTCCACACTTCTATTTAGTAAATTGCAACTTGACAAAGCTGTGTGTGGATGACTGTGCCAAAAGCCTAGCCCTGAACAGAGATGGTAAAAAGAGAGAAGGAGAGAAAGTGCTCACGGGAAGTACACAGAAAAATTGTGCTTTAGAAGCTTTGTCAGTGCTTTGATTTAGTGCCATCAGACTTACTGCATCAGGCCTTCTACTTAGTGCTAATGCAGACAGTCTGGGAAACCTTCAAAGAAACTGATGCCTTGCAACCTGAAAATGATGCCTTGCAACCTGAAAAGAATTTTCTGCCTCCCTGAATTCTAAGGAGGGATCTGCCAAAGCAATAAGCATGCTGGGACTCAAGAGGAGCCTGCCCTTTCGTATGATAAGAACTGTAGCATAATAAAGGTATATAACTATCCAAATACCAGCATTAGGTTTTCAGGAAAAAGCCCTGCTGGCTCCTTCCATACTACACCAGTCCACATGTGTCAGACAGAACTGCTGGAAATGGGCCATCTTCAGCGTGAAAGGAATACCCAGTGCTCAACGGTGTGCTTACATACCCAAGACAGAGCTTTTCAGGGCCAAAACGAGATTTTAAGTGCTTAATAGGAATAACAATAATAGAATTTAGGAGAATTTAAGTTTGCTATGAGAAACGCTGACCCACAGCTGGGAGCTAAAAAGAAGCTATTTCAGAGAAAGTGCTTAAACAGAGTTAAACAGTTTGGGAAGCAGCACAGGAGTGTAAGTAGAAGAGGATCTTTTCTGCTTACCTGAAAGTCAATTTGTTCCCTGAAACATTCACGATAATCCTTCAGTATTGCCCTGTCTCCTGGTGCTACTCTGCCCCTTTCCCTGATGAAGAGAGGTTGAGTTTATCTGCTTTGCTGATGCAGATACAACAAAGCACACCATGCTATGAACTAACTCCCTTCCTGTGGAACAAACATTAGGAAGCAGCTGAAGAGATATTTAAAACTCCTGTGTTTCAATGTAAACCAGAAAATGCCTTTTTTTCACATTCTTAAACAGAAGGGTGGAGACTGTGAAATACAAAATCTTATTGAAAGAATAAAAAGTCTGATATTAAACTCTTCTTTTGAGTGAAGAATCTCCTCTGATGCCTTCCCCCAGGCCCTTTTCATATGAAACTGTTGTACATGGATGTATTGCAGGACATATAAACTATTAGGTGAACTATTAGAGCCACTGGATAAATTATTGCATGGAAATCTGGAGTGTTTTGGGAAAATATTTCATATTCAGTGTATGAAAGGATTTTTATTTTTAATGGCAGCTGTTTGATGTTGTTCAGTGGCTTGGAAACTTACCAGTCCATTTGCATTTCTGAATAAAAGCATCTCTGTGTCTGTAAGATCTCAATTTTTTGAGGCTGGGGATCCAAAGATAAATTCCTTTAGTGATTCTTTTTACCAGATATCTGAATCTGAGCCAGGTATTACTACATTATTTTTTATGTTATCATCACCCTGGAAGAATACTACTTTAAGAAATCAGTGTTCAGTGTTTCTACGCGAAACATTTAAATTAGAACAAAATCAGTTTCTTCTTCCTAGTTATCTACATGAAACATGATTAACGAATGATAAAATATAAATCTGAATGGAAATATCTCCTTTTCCAAGGTTCCAGTTAAACAGTTTTGAATTGCAAATCTGAGGATGTGAGCTAAGTGTCTTTCTAGCAGCATTACAGTGTGATCTCACTGCCTGTCATTTCCTGTCTGTCCTCCCTTTAAGTACTTGCTCCTTCATAATTATTATCTGCAGTTGGCTACTGGACTTTGAAACTGCAAACTGCTTTCCATATAATTTGTTTCCTGTTGCATATACTTTGAAATCATACTGTTTGTTATCTGTCACTAGGATTACAAGTGACACGACTTAAGAGGAAAAAGGTAGAAAAATTTCAATGAAAATATGGAGCTCTTTACTGACTATAAAATGTGACAAGGTGTCAAAACTCTGTAATATGAAAAAAAAAGCAGCTGTACTTATAATCTGTTACTGATTCAGTGATGAATAGAAAAAATGATTAGAAATAAACCCAATCACAAGTGGAAAAAGGAGTAAACAAATACTGATATGAAGTAGAAATTGCAGGCTATAAAAATATTGATGAACACTTTGGGGAAAATCCATAACCGGGTTTCATACAAAGAAGTAACATTTTTTTAACTACCTTAATAAGAGAAGAAACATGCTGAAAAAGTGTATTTGTTGTTGATGACAAAGAGATAAAATATTCATAAATATTTTGAGCGTTTCATGCTTGGAGAGGATGTGCCTACAAAATGTGTGGTTAAAGAATTTTGTATTTTATTAGTAGCTAAGTGGTATACGAAATTGCAAAGTTAGGATTTTTAAATCTGATTTAAATCTATGTGCTCACACCCTGAAGTTCTATAAGAATTGGCTGAACAGACCCTTAGTCTCTTCTGCAAATTTTAAATATATACAGGAAAATATTACAAAACTTAAATAATTTTGGGATTATACAAATATTAAAGAAAAAAGAGAGAAAGGAGATTATCTAGGTAATTAGTCTCTGATTAGTCTGACGAAAGTCACAAGAAAACTACAAAATACCATTTGTATGGGACTAAAGTCATATAAACTTGATGTAGAGAACTAGAATTAATGCTAGTGACAATAGTTTTACTGGATGTATGTCCTGTCAGAGAAACATACAATGAGATTACAGATTTTGATGAGGCATATGATTTACTAGTGTACAAGATTCAGTTTAAAAATAAACACTAGGACTCATTCAAATGAATGGTAAAATGAAAGGTAAAATGATAATGCAGTCTGTCCATGTTCTGTAGACTGGCTCCTGGATACCTTGACTCAGAAAGAGGATTTAATGTTTATACTAAATGGCAGCAGAACACAAGATTCAATATTTGATTCAACAGTAAAAAAAAAAAAAAAAAAAAAGGTCTAATGTGAATCCTCAACAGGAAGATAAAAAAGAAATGAATGAGTACAGAGAAGTGAAAACAAAAGCTACACAGGACAATTTTGGTGTCAGTATTTAGATCACAAGGGTCAGTATTTAGATCACACAGAGGTGACCAGACTAAAGGGGGTGAGTATATTAGAGAGAAAACATAAAGCAATAAAGGCTCTTCTCTGAAGGCAAACAAGCATAATATGAACCAGTGGCTGAAAGTTAAAGCCAGAAAAATTCAAATTAGAATTAGATACCCATTAGCTAACACTGAAAGAGATTAACCACTTAAACAGCTCTCAAAGTAATGAATTCTTCATGTCTTGATGCCTTCAGGTCTGGCATTTCTGGAAGATGTGTTGTGGCTAAACACAAGTTATTATCTACTGATAGACAAATAAGTAACTTAATACCTACACTTTCATTAAATGTAATAGCTTGTGACATAGGAAGCCAGACTGCACTCTGAATTTATGATTTCATAGCTTTACCAGAATGGGGCACATGAGCACTTTTTCATCTATGGCTGTTTATACATTGATAAGCAAGACTTAGTACAATGAATGAAGAACTGACACTCCTTTCACCATCATTTTACAGACTCGAGTATCTTGTTATTCCCTTGTCACTTGATCCTGATTAGTGCTTCCCCTTTTTCACAAGCTTCTCAGATGAAAAGTCAACACCTGTAAGCCAACACCTGCTTGTGCTCTTCTACTGAAAAAAAATGATCAGGTCCTATTATTCAGCTCTTTTTATTTTAAACAGTAGAAGATGTTATATATTTTCCTGATTCAGTGCTTCTTTTTAAAATGTTTAATTTGCGAGTAGTGGATTTAACATCTATCTACTCACAAAGAGCCACCTCCTTTTCAATAGCTACTAGATGAAATTCATAATCCTTCAGGAATCTCATCTAATGTAAAAGATCTGAAATCATTACAGCTAGGTAAATACATATTTATCATCTCCTTATTGCAGATTTTCCCCTTGAGTGTCTCATCTTCTTCCTTGAATTTACATCTGGGTGTATCTTTACTTCTGCTTCCTTCCTAAAGAAATAAAGAACTATTTACATAGGAGTTTTGCCATGTCAGATCCCTTGATTACCATTTGCCTTCTGTTTCATTGTGTTTCAGAGACATCCTATTTCATCCTTTAACTCTCTTTTTCTTTTAGCCTGATAGGGAAAAAAAAAAAATCCCACTTCCCTTCTACTTTTCTATTGTCTACAGGAATTCACTTTTGTACTTACTTTACTTCATCAGCAATTCCTGTTGTCTTTGCCATTTTTTGTAGTTCTTGACACATTTTTTTCCCAGGGCTAGATGCTTTCAGGGAAAGGATCTCTCTCCAGGAGACTACATAGATTATTCTCTAAATTTTTTAGTGTGCCGTTAAACACACCGGTTTTTTTTATTATTTCTTCAGCTTCCTTTTGACTGTAGTATTTTTAATCCTTAAAAAACGACTTCCTATTGCTTGGGTTTTCCTAAAGAACTTGAAACTATCTTCCCATAATTTTAGTGTCCTCTAGCTTAATATGTAAATTCTCATGGACAGCCATTTTACACATTTGAACACTGGGAGAATACACACTAATTATATTATGCCCATCGGTTTGTAAGCATTGGCCTGTTCCCATTTTCCCTTCATCTCTTTTGCATGTAAGAGGTTTATAGCTGTCCTGTAGAAAAACTTGTGTACACACTTTCAGATCAATGTGTTGATCTTTTAATTCCCTCCCTAAACCATGCATATTGTAAAGTGAAACGTGAGAAGTGTGTGCAGGACTAGTCTTCTATCCTATTAACTGGTAAAACCAGGAAGCACAAATTTATACTTAAAGATCTTAAAATACTCAAGGCCACTGAAACCACCCTTTTGTGTGGATGAAAGGGGAAATTGGGATTCAGTGGACATATTTTTGCAATGTTTGCATGATGGCATTTGCCAGTGTAAACCTGACTTGCAAACATACAGTGTTTTTCACTGTGAACAGTTTCTTTTTGCTATAAATGGTCCCTTTATTGAAAATGGTCTCCCTTTACCTTTTCATCTTGAACTATTTGAACTACCCAACCATCCTTTTCCTTTTTGTAACACATTACTTCAGCTGCAGAAAAAGAAATAAGCAAATTATATTATTCCAGGAATACTGGAATATTATTTCTTGTAATGAACTAGTTTCTTTCAAAACATGTAGAGAGATTTTCAATGTTGTTACATATAAGCTTGTGCTTTAATAGCCAAACACAGCAACTTTCTGCTTACACTTCTAAATTTGGAAAAGAATAAAACATATTTGAGAGAGTAGCCTGGCAAGAAATAAAGATAGAAACAAGACCAGGAGAGAGATGATTGCTGGTCAACCCCAGAGCCAATACAGGACACAAAATAGGAAGCCCTATTCACTGGAAAAACTAGATGCTTTTGGGTCCCTTCAGTTGCCTATCTTGCTGTATGGACATTGCCTTTTCTTTCAGAACACCTTGGCAAGAGCTGAGATTTGGCTTAGAGAAGCATAAACAGACTCTAAATTGCCTCAAATGGAATGCTCTAATAACCCACAGAATATTTATTTCCTTATCACAATATTAAGTCCTATGTGTCTTCAACTACTCTATGCTGGTAGAAAAGTAATAAAGAAAAAAGTGGATAAGAAAGGAAATATGAACATCTCACAGTCCGAATTTCTCATTCCTTGAATCAGAGAAATAACTGTCAGTTCTATGGCTGGGAAAGAATCCTGCAGGTAGAAATGTATAGTTTAAAGTAACTTGTATGTAATTCTGGATTTTTTTCCTGTAGATTTCTTATTATTAACCTGTACAGTTGTCTGCATTGGACTATCCCTGTTGGAGTGGTGAAAGCAGTAAGTACAGTTGTGGAAATGTAGCCTCTTAAAAAATGTTGCTAGTCATTAATGACTATTTACACGTAGAAATTGCACAGTTTTTGGATGGAGAA